TTCTATTCTATTTCTATATTTTATTATTCATTCTATTCCATTCCATTCCATTAATAACCTATGATTATCCGTGCTGTATCCTAGGATTCTTGATGAATGTATTGGTGCTTATGCACTGAAGACAAATTCCTTGGGTGTACAATCACCCTTGGCCAATAAAAGAATTCTATTTGATTCTAGATAACTAGACAGACTGACTGACTCCTCAAAACTGGAGGGATATATTTTTTTTTTAATGTCGGGGCAAATTCCTGGGCCCTCCAGGATGGGGCACGATTCAGTGCCCTGCCTGCAATCCCAAACCACTCCTTAAAAGCGGACGGAGCAGCCAGACCCCAGCACCACCCGAGCGAGGCCTTGGGCCGGTCCAGGAGACAGGCGGGTCAAGAGCCCAGAGGGGCCTGGATCTCTTCACCACCCCAGCCCCCCTCGCTGTCTCTGGCCCCCTTTCCAGGCGAGGGGCTCACCTTCAGGATGAAGTCTGGGGGGGTTCCAGGCCGGACGGTGGGCCTCAGCACCCCGTCGTGATGCGAGTGGATCAGGGTCTCGTCCAGATCCAGGACGAGAATCTTCCTCTTCACCTGATCTGCCGGAGAGAGAGGGCGGGGGAGGGATGTTTTTTCTTAATGCCTCTTTTTTTTTTTTTACAGCAGGGGAGTCCTCGACTTACAACCTGCGGCCGTCGTAAATACGAGTCGGTGGGCAAGCGTCCGAATTTGGACCACGGGACTAGGTAGGTGGCTGCGGCCGTCGTAAGTAGGAGTTGGCTGGCGAGCGCCTCAATTCTGACCCCACGGGAGCGCCGCAACGGTTGTAAGTCTGAAGAGCGACCGTAAGTCACTTTCCCCGCCCCCCCCCCCGGCCCTTTTTAATAAAAAAACGGCCCTAAAAGAACTTTGATCAATAAATTATATTGGGGGGGGGAGGGGACGAAAGCCTCAGCCACATACACCCCCAAAACCCCCAACGCCTCCCCCCACCCCCCCCAAAGCCCCGACCCCCCCACCCCGTGATCCTCCGAGAGAGGAAAGCGTACTTACTCAGCCGTTCTCGCGAAACCCGGGAAAGAGGGAGAATATCGTAGCGCACCGTTTGATACTGGATCACCTGCCGGCAGAAGACACAACAAAGAGGGTTGGGACTGTGGCAAACAGGTCGGGAATCCGAGGGAGGCCCTGAAAGGCCCAGGTCACACCCAGGGGCAGCCACAGAGGGAGGCAGGCCAGGATCTGGCGGCTCCGTAAACCCCGATGACGCCAGGATGGTGGTTAAAGTGCTGCGGGGCCAAAACTCCTACGTCGGGGTTTCCCCAAGCGGCCACGGAGTCTTTCCTGCTTACTGACATGCGCATGAGAGAGAGAGGGAGGGAGGAAGTTACAGGTAGACTTACCTGTAAGGGGCAAGGGGAAGGGCCACTGTTATGCCACAGGATGGAAGAGAGAAGGGAGCGAAGAAAGGAAGGAGAGAAGGGGAAGGAGAGAAGGGGAAGGAGAAGGGAGCAAAGAAAGGAAAAAGGGGGAGGAAAAAGAGAAGGGAGCGAAGAAAGGAAGAAAAGAGAAAAGGGAGCAAAGAAAGGAAGAAGGGGAAGGAAAGAGAGAAGGGAGCGAAGGAAGGAAGAAGAGAAGGGAAGGAAGGAGAGATGGGAAGGAAGGTAGGAAAGAAGGAAGAGGAAAGGAAAAAGGAAGGTAAGGAAAAAAGAAAATTAAAGGGAAGGGAAGGGAAAGGAGAAAGAGATGAGGGAGGCGACTGAGGAAGGTGCGGAGAGAAGGAAGGAAGATAATAGAAACAAAAGGGGGGAGAAAGGGAGAAAAAGGAAAGAGAAAGAAGGGTCGGAGGGAGGGAGGGAGGAAAGAAAGGTGGGAAAGAGAAGGAAGGAAGGAAGGAAGGATCCACCCACAAGGACCTCATGCCACCTAGGCAGGCCATCCATCACAAGGGGCAACACGGGGCCCGGAGGCCGAGGGAGCCCCTTAGCATTTAGACGGCCTGCCAAGTCTATTTCTGACTCTCCCCGCCAGCCGCTCGGGAAGTCCTCCTCCCCAAGGGCACTGACCCAGCCCCCCCTCCCACTCACACACACACACACACACACTCGCGTCAGGGCCCTCCGGAGCCTGGTGCCTCTGGCTGCCCCCACCCACCCTCTTCCAAAATTAGCTTCCTGCAGTTTTGGGAAGCCGGCCAGGGTCTCCGGGGCAGAAGGGGAAGAAGGGAGGACCTGGGGGCCTGGACAGCGGGATCTCCTCCAGACCTCCCGGTTCAGAAAGGGGTGGGGGGTGGGGGTGGGGGCTCCCTGGCTTGGCAAAACAAGGGAAGAGGGCACAAGCTATCACACCGGGGAATGGTCCCTGCATTTGGGAAAGAAAGAAAGAAAGAAAGAAAGAAAGAAAGAAAGGAAGGAAGGAAGGAAGGAAGGAAGGAAGGAAGGAAGGAAGGAAGGAAGGAAGGAAGGAAGAAAGAAAGAAAGAAAGAAAGAAAGAAAGAAAGAAAGAAAGAAAGAAAGAGGGAAGGGAAGGAGGAAGGAAGGGAAGGAAGGAAGGAAGGAAGGAAGGAAAGAAATTTGCAAGATTCCCATTTTGTCAATCAGTTGGTGTCCCAAGTCTGAGAGGCGCCCAAGGTTAGTTGGGGAAGGAAAGAAGGAAGAGAAAGAGAAGGAAAGAAGGAAGAAGAGACAGAAAGAAAAAAAGGAAGGAAAGAAAAGAGAGAAAAAGAAGAGGCAGAAAGAAAAAGAAGAGAAAAAGAAGGAAGAAGAGGCAGAAAGAAAAGGAAGGAAAAGAGAGAAAAAGAAGGAAAGAAGAGGCAGAAAGAAAAAAGGAAGGAAGGAAAAGAGAGAAAAAGAAGGAAAGAAGAGGCAGAAAGAAAAAAGGAAGGAAGGAAAAGAGAGAAAAAGAAGGAAAGAAGAGGCAGAAAGAAA